AAAAAAAAAAAAAAAAACCTAAACAGATATTCCAGTTTCTTCATGAACTTCGTGAGCTGGGGTTGGGGGGAAGCTAGGGGATTAACAAGGCTTCATATTTCATTGTACAGACGAGGAGACTGAAGTCTAAAGAAAAAGGGGTTTGCCTAAGGTCATATCGACAATGAGATGCCTCATAGTCCCCATGTTGCAGCTCCTTAAAAGTCATATGACTTTCCTGCCTCCAGGCCTTTGCACAGGCTATTCCCTGTGCCTGGAACTCTTTCATTCAGCAGCTTTGAGTCATCCTTTAGCTTTCAACTTCAGTAAGTATCTCTTCCTCCAGAAAGTCTCCCCTGACCTCTCTCCTTCAACTCTGCTCCCAAAACCAGATCTGCAAGTTAAGCGTTGCCATTACACTCCACATGACTACAAACTTCAGGAAGGCAGACACCATGGCTGTCTTGATTACTGTTATGCTTAGCTTGCACATGGCACCTGACACAGAGGAGGTGCTTAATAAGAACAGGTCGACTGAGTGAGTAAAAGAGCTCTGTTTTCTTTACTGCTCCTTAATGAGCATCTAAGACTCTCCAGATCCTGTTCCTCCATACCCACTGCACCCATGTCTTGATACTCAGGAGGCTCCATCCTGACAGAGTGGTGCTAACTGAGAAGCAAGGGCCGGCACCCCAACTTTCTCACCCTTCCTTCAACAGAGCTGCTCATAGTTCATCTGATTTACATATTCATGCAACTGGTCAGATTTTCTTGCATAAGGGGGTCCCGGCCTTTAAAAACTACTTAAGAATAACTGCCTTTATGAAATCCCACATGAGAAATTTCTTTAGAGCTAAGCTTCAGGAATAGCCTTGCTTCCCTTGAAAAACTGCTTTGGTTTTTTTTATCTGGGGGATAATAAAAAGCATGTAACTCACATTTTCTTTTTCTCTCTGGCCACCAGGAATTTTTGAATTAAAACTGTAAGTGTGTAAGATCATATGTCTTGTGTAACTGCGTATTAATTCACCGCTCCCACCCCCTCCTTAGGGTCTATTTTAATTTGTATTTTTCTGGTTCAGATTGTTTTATTTATAATTTTTATGTGTTGTCGTGTATATATCTTATAAGCTGTTTCAAATTCTTTATGGAATAAGGTAGGCATATAAATAGAAAAGCAGATAAATAAAATAATCATCTGCTACTTCATTGAGGCTGCTGGTACTAGAATATTGGATATTCCTCCTTTATTCTCCTTAGTTATTTTATACTTCCCAAGTCTAGCACTCCTATCTTCCTCGAGACTGTGCACAGTGCCAGGCACACAGTGAGTATTTAAGGCACTGTGGGTCAGATGATGCAGATTCCAAATCCCATTCCTCCCACTTTCTCCATGTCTCTGAGCCTCAACTTCCACATCTGTGAAGTGGGGATAATACTAATGTCTCCTTACATTAGGTTCTTGTGGACATCCATGAGAGGATGTGCTGTGGATTGTCCCCAAAGTCCATATATTAGAAGCTTAATTCCCACTGTAATTGTTGAGGGTAGGAAATCCTATTATGGTAATTGAAAGATGGGGCCTTGAAGAGGTGATTAGATTGCACGACCATGCCATAGTGAATAGATTAGTAATGGTGGCTGGGGTGTGGTTCTGAGGGCTTTAAGAGGAGAGCACATAAGAGTCTCTCTCTCTCTCTCTCTCTCTCTCTCTCTCTCTCTCTCTCCCCTCAACCATATTCTGCCATATGAGACCCCTGCATTGCTGTAAAGTCATCACTGAGAAGACCCTCACCAGATGTGTTCTCTGGACTTTGGACTTCTCAGACTGA